ACCAATTTTAAACATAAAGTCTGGAATTAGACACAGTCCAACTACGAAGCATGGACTCCAGTGGAGGCTAGTTTATGAACCCAAGGATGATGCTGCTTTCCAAAAGAAGTGAGTTTTTTTGTTTTTTGAACATTGAATCAAAAATTGAAGATTTGACTGGGACTACAGTTGTCCAGCTCCAAGTGTCTATATGAAAATGTCTCATTATGAATTCAAACTAGAAGCTGTATAAAATCTGGTCAAGAAAACTGACTTAATTGGGAAAGAAGGGTGTGAGGAGAATTCAAATTCTTAGGAATACATTACAGAGTAGAAAGATTTAGCAATCCTACGTTGAAAACTTCTTTGGATTACAGAATAGTGAAAACTTGGGTTCAGATGGTTGGTTTCTGGGATGTGTTCAGAGTAAAGGGAGAAAAGGAATTTATTTTAAGAAGTGTTTTTTTCTTCTGGGACACACATTTAGGTGCATTGTAGATTTGCATCTGAGTGACAGCTTCAATGAGTAGTGCACCATGTTATGGATGTACAACTGAATGATGCAATACCTAGAAATGTTGTAGTTTATTTATTTATTATTTACTTGTTAAAGTATGCCTTTCCACTGGATAATATGGAAATGCTTAATTTGACTGGAAATGGGAAAATGAAAATTCTTAAATCCAGTGAGGTGAATAAATTACAATGGGAACGTTCTTATCATGTGCTTCTGATATCTTTGTGTATTTTGTGTTGTCAAAATGCCTAATTTTTTCATGGAACACTGGCATAGTTGCTGTTCTTTGTTGACAGGCTCTAATGGTGGACCACTTTCTTCTCTGCTCTACTACCAGCAATTTTCTTAAAGTCTTGAATAGGGAACTAATAATAAATTATTATACTGCTATATAATTATATGAACATGTTATATTTTTTACTATAATAAATGCTCTTATCAGTGAATGCAAATCCAGATGAAATAGTTTATTGGTACTGTGTTTGACCCTTCCTTTTTATGAATTCAGAAGACAATGTAGTTGCGTTTCCTAGTATGTCATGTTTGTTCTGCTTGACTTTTTTTTTTTTAATTTGAAATGGCTATGAATGAATGAGGGAATGGGTAAAGGGCATAGTGAAACACCATGAGCATTTAATTAAGACAGTTGCAGAATTTATGAGACTTAGGATTTATTCAGAGAGGGCACTGATTTTGAAATGCGGGAAGGGAAAAAGAAATGAGGTGTCGTCAGGCTACACTGACAAACTCATGAGTGACTTAAAAAGTAACAATTCTGGTAATGTCAGACTTGTAATTTGCTGAGTGTGGTGAGTGTTTTCTCTTGTGATTGATATCAGCTGGTAATTCATCTGCATTTGTTAGGAATGGCAGAGTGGGAGTATCCTGGTGAATCCCAGGAGCCTGAGGGAAACTGGGCCAGAGGAGCGGGAAGCCTCTAGTCTCTGAACGGATTTGAATTTAAAGTGAGAAATCCATTGGCTTTTCTTTTGTGAAATAGCCTGCTTATTCTTTCCTGTAATTTTACATGTCTACTTTGACTTGTGCTTACGCAGTTAAAACTGCTTAAAATGTGTTAAAGTGGTTATTTTCTAGCTTACCTTTAGAAGGACTCTTAATGACTACTAATTAAAAAAAAAAGATGTTACTCCAATTTTGGAATAACAGAAAAATTTAGCTGTCTTTTGAAAGTGTCTGTCAGTAACAGTTATTTCGTAGTTTCTGTTTAACACTCATTTTTTGTGTGTTTAGTACATAACTCTGCTACTTCCTGCCTGACTGTTCTCTAAGGAGTATGTGTTTTCATTACTGTTAATCTGTAATTTAATTACAGAAATACGACATCCTAGGCAAAGGTGTGAGCAGGGCCAGTAGAGAAATGCAGGATTAGGTGGCAAGATGAATCAGTTGTAGAGAAGCTAGTGCTGTTATTTCCCTGTAGGAAGAACAAATGACTTTTAGAACTGAAGCTAAAAGACATCCCTGTCTTTTTGATACAGTTACACAGCACTTCTAAGAGGTGACATGTACTGTTCTCTTCTTTTCTGCTTTATATGTGTAATGCTTTTCCATCCTCAGTTAATGAAAGAATCTGGTCTCCATTTCTTCTGTGTTTTTGTGATGGTATGAACTGGGTCATCATTTGGTCTGAGATGCAAGGAAATGTTTTTGAAAGCTGCTTCTGTTTTTTCTATACCTTTATGTTCTTCCTCCCCATCTCCTTTGTACAAAGCCTTGCACTGCTTGCTTTGACATTTAATTCCTTATTCCTTCTTCTGGCTTTTTCTATCCTTTTAGCAGTTTTCAAAGTGCATTATCCCCCTGCTTCTCTAGTTGTCTGTGCAGTTTGTTCCTGTCTATCTTTTTCTGTGATACTGCTGTGTGAAAGGTGAAGAGGGGAATTGCACATCAAACCATAACCCTTGAAAAGGAAATACTTGATTCTGTGTGATGTGAACAGTGTCATGGCCAAGATGCCTATGAAAAGTTCCTGGTTCTTCTGGGACAAGGAAGAAGGCAGGATACTTGCTGAAGGGGATGTGAAGGCTTGTGAGAACTGGTTACAAGATTAGTGCTTGATTTCTGTTGGAAACGTTGAATGCTCTTACAGGTATCCGAGATATCATCACAAATACTGTACAAGGCCAGTGCTAATGTCCTGGTTTTTTTGAGACTGTACACAAAATAGGTTGCGGTTGGCTAGAAGGTCCAGGTAACACTACTGCTCTAGCTGTGATAACAAGGGTGTGGAAGGATGTTGTCTCTGCATTTAGGAATTTGCAGAAGTCGCTGCTCTCGGTTGTCATTATGCTGGTAAAGGTATATTCTGTACTCGAATGGCTGTTTCCTTCCCTAGGGTAGCTTTATGGCAATGCAAAGCCCATCTTTGTGGTGGTTACAGTCACTCTGGGAGTGCTTTGCTGATCTCACATGCAAAGATTTCTGAGCTGAAGTGCTTGTGGTGTTTATGTAACTTAATAGATTCTGTTCTAATAGACTCAGAGGAACATTTTTCCCTAAATCCTTTGATCTTGATAGGAGAAGGAACAACTGTTTTTCTTGCCTCTCTTTTTCTTTCCTTTTTTTAGTTCTTTAGCTGTTTTTCCTCCTTCTGTTAGTTGTAGAGCTCTAGTTCAGGAACCACAGTGGTGATTTCCAAGGTAGTACTCAATAAAAAATGGCCAAATAACGAAGGCCGGAATAAATTATTTGTACCTGAGCAATAGAAGGACAATGAAATTATAATGAGGATGGCACAGGCTCAGAATGGACATTGTTGTATATAAAGTCTAGACTTGTTTGCTGAACCCAGAGAAGCACTAGCTCTAGGGTCAAGCTACTATGTAATCTTCTCAGGGGCATGGTATCCTTTCTGTCTAGTTCTCTGCTTTTTCTCCTGAGTATGTAGCAGATATTTCTGAAATGGACAAGGAAAACTGAGAATGAACAAAATTAAAATTTACTACGAAATATGCAAGTTTGACTTTTATTGTACATTTTCCAATTCTGCTGTTTTCCCCTGCAGTTAAGTGCATCTATTTTTCCCTACTAAGCAACCTGAAGAGATAAAATGCTTTATAAGTGGGCGAGTAGTACTGTAGAATCATGTAAAGGTCAAACAAAATAGGAAGGTAATGGATGGGTGCAATATAAGTCAATAAGGTAATCTGAAATGTTGGCAATTTAGGACATTCTTATTTTTAACAGTACTATTGGAAACGTGGTGGTGGTTGGCAATGAGCTTGCCATTCCCATAGTCCCGTATCCTGTGAAGGGATGTGCTTCATGATTACAAGAGTGAGGCTTTCCATTTGTTTCATGAGGAAAGGGATGCAGAGGTGCTTATGAGAGATGTGGGAGATGGAGTCAGGGCAGAAGTGAGTGGTGTAGTGATGCACTAGCTTAAAATTCTTTGGGACAGGGTTGCTAATCTGTAATAATTTGAAGAGAGTTTGATCTTTTTCTGATGTGAAGATGGTGGCAGTAGAGAGTTATGCATAACTATGGCAAAGGAAGGTTGCCCAAGCAAAATGTCTGAAGCTCTGTAAATCTTAGGTAATGATTCCTTGCATAATGTCCAGGCTTATTTACCTTGACTGAAGAGATGGGCAGATCATCACCCATAACTTCAGTTGGCTGTGAAGACAATCCTGGAAATATTCTGTGATGGGAAAGGTTAGAGGTGTTCTGCCTATGGGGTTATTGCTAAAGGGCTATGCCAAAATACCACTTTCAAAAGAAAGTGAGTAAATTTGGGATATACAAAGCTACAGAAGTCTGAATAATCACAGTTTCTGAAATACCATACACAAATTCATATGAGCTATGCTAATCTCATCTAGAGGAACAGTAGAAATAGCATGTGTTGAAAATGCCAATGTTAATGGCCTTAGCCAGATTGGTAGGGGTGTTTTTTAAGAAGAAGCTGAGGCAGTAATCTGCATTCCTGTGATCTTCACTCCAGTCTGTTGAGGGTTGGTAGCTCCTTCATTTGAGCCAGGTGGTTTACTCTCCCTCCCCTTTTGGCAAAGAGTTAAAGTGTTAAATAGTTGTTCTGTGTAATAGCATAGGTGACTTCCACAAGGAAATGGAATTTAAGATCTGTGCTGTTGTGAAAAATAGGTTTAATTGTGGGGGGAAAAAAAAAGGTACATTTCCAGTTCTTGAGACTGACACACTTTAGTTTGAAATATCTTTGCTTTCATTTACTTCACTTAAGCAATGCGGTTAGTTTACTTTTTGTTTGTATGATCTTGCAGTCCTGGAACTTGGTTTATTGTGAAATGCTTTGGGTTGTGAATAAAAGAATAGATCACATGCCCCTGAAAAATCAAGCCTAATGATCAAAATAACAGCACCTTATAAATTGGAGTTATTGCAAAAATTAGTTTAATCTCATTTGTTTATTTATGATCTTGATTTAAGATTAATCTGTGCTCTTCTTTGAGTAAATACATGAAAAACTTCAGCAGAAATACTATATAATTGTAGTTTATTTCAACAGGTACTTTGTGCTGGACTTTGAGACGGGGATTCTGCAGTATTTCGTGAATGAACAAAGTAAAAACCAGAAGCCAAGAGGAGCCTTGTCTTTAGCTGGAGCTATAATATCGCCCAGTGATGAAGTGCCACACATGTTGGTGGTCTACTCTGCTAATGGAGAGATGTATAAGTTAAAAGGTACAGTGCTGCTTAGAGGTGCCAACTGAGTTGTTCTTCTCTCCCTTTCCCACTTCTGCATCTCTTCTCTCATATCTCCTTTCTCCTTTACTTCCCTATGCTGTCAGATAGTAGTGGTTATACACTATATCATTATGTCCTGTGTTATAAGACACAGTGGAAGAGTAATCTAGAGTTAAATGCATATAACTTCACAATGTATAGGCTTTCAGGGCTGGAAGATACTTCATGGTGCTTTCTGTAATCTGTTGCTGTGGCATTTTGACTGCGTGGTGTGTCTTATTTGCTTCCAAAGGAAGAAAACGCTGCTTTCGTTGCTGTCCACAGCATAACATTTAATTTCTAGTATTGTTCTCCTCTGCTACAGTCCTGCAGATAATGTGCAATAATAAATCTGACAATGGGTCAGAGAAAGGAAAAATGCTAATGGGAGGCTATTAAGATATTATGTGCTTATCAGTCTTGCAGTAATTGAATGCACCTGTAACATAAAATCTTCTCTTCCCATTCTCCCAAATATAGGAAAGAAAATTGAGAGTATGTAGGAGTTACTCTGGAATACTAAAAAAAAAGGCAATGTTCTGATTCTAAGATATTTTCAGTATGGTTAATTGATCATGATGCTTTTATATCAAACTAATTTATAAAAAATAAAATGTTATTAAAAAAAGTGACATGTAATACAGTGTAACAAAAGTATTCTTAGTTTTATTCTGACTGCAGTTTATCAGTTGTCTAGTGGGACTGAGCATGCAGAAGTCCTCTGTGGTACAGTGTGTTGCCACTTTATACATAGAACTGAGACACAGGAACAACCAAGGAGCATTTCTGTTAAAAAATGTTGGAATTTGCACAGCTAGAAATCATGAACACTTCCATGATTTTCATTATCGTGCTTTTCCAAACCCTTGAGATTATCGAATGCTTACAATGTGCTGCTTTTAGTTTAATGAGGTCTATGAATTTGTTTCTAATTAGTAAATAATTTCTATGCTGAGTCAATAATCATTGAGATACTTAATAGCAGAGGAAGTAAGAGAAAATATTTACTGATATTATCAAGCCTGTATTGCCATTCTTAATCAGGATTACTGTAGTAGTGGTTTGTTTAAGACAAAACCAGATCTCTTTCCTAAAAAGACTTACTAATATTACACAGAAGATACCTGATATAGACTGCAGACAAACTTCAATAATTTTAAAGTTGTTTTTTAAAGATGTAAGGGGAAAATTGTGATTTTCATTCTCGTGTCTTTAAGTTGCACTTGAATAACATAGGTTTTGAGAGAGATTTAGTTGAACTCTATTAATAAAGAGAAGTATTTGAATATCTGGGGAACTGGTAGCTTGTCTGGTAGCTGATTGACAGCCTGAGTGTGATGCTTTTACTGATTTAAATACTGTGGTGTGGCCCTTGTCCTTCACAAAAAGAGACAAGTAAAACAAAAGTGGATGAAAAAATCTAAACCAAAAAAGTCATCTAGAGGTAGTTCTGCTTTTACTAACACTTGACGGGGGGTTAACTGTGAAGAAGACTCGTAAGTTCATCTCTTCCACCTGGTCACAGCCTCTTAAGTTCAGGCTTGGATGTCTTGTATTGAAAAACCTGAGCATAGTTAAGTAGCATAAGTTAGCATTTCTACTGCATTCTAATCAATAAATAATCTTTACCCCCTCTGCCCTGCTCCATCACTTTTTGTGCTAAAAAAGAGTATTGATTTATGTGTGATGCCCTGCATTTTCTTGTTTCTATTTTAGCTGCTGATGCAAAGGAGAAACAATACTGGATAACTCAGCTTCGATCCTGTGCCAAACATCACAAGGAAGGTAATTCTAAGGTAAATAATTGAGAGGAAGAAGTAACTATTATGTTTTAAAGTGGTGTAGGTGAAGAATAGCACGATCTGGATGCAGTAGTTAATGGGTTGATATTTAAAGGGTTTTAAATAAAAGCAAGTTGTCCTTTGTCACTAACTGGAGCAGACTTAAGTTAGTTGGGCAATCTTAATAAATAAGCATTGTCCTGTTTATGAGAAATTAATAAAGGGATGGTTAATTCAGTGGCTGGATAAATAGTTTATTAATAAATACCTGTGTGATGTCCTGATTAGTATTTAAAAGTATTAACTGGTATTAGTTTTATTTAATTTTATAAGGTTTAGTGACTTTTATTATTGAAGCTTTAGATAGATATTAGCAGTGGTCAGTCTTTGTTTTCTTCACTAAATCTGAAAGAGATCATCATATGATGATGGTTTTGGGGTTCATATGAAGTGTCACACACACAAATTCCTGTTCTCCAGTCCTTGAAGCATATCTGTTGATATTCTTATGAGAATGAAAATGATTGCTTTTCTCATGAGTAATTGTTTGGTATATTAAAAAGAAAAATGCATATAACAGCAAGTTGAAAGGATTTCTCCCGGTTCCAAGATGTTGAGAATATCAGTGTTATGTTAGCTTCAGTCAGAGTTGTGATCCTGAGTATCTTTGAAAGCTGGACTTTGAGAAGATGAAGGGGATTTTGAGGAGACTGCCATTTATTGAAGTGAGTGAAGTAAAGTCAACCTTTTGTTGTTCCTTTTGAGTGATGTGGACCTGTCAGGAAGCAAATGTGGTAAAAGTAAAACCCTTTTTGAAGGAGACTTAAATACCTTAAGTATTTCAGTACTTTTAAAATTCTTATGCATGGCAATTTAAGATGGTTTTTTATATAGATGTGACCCAGTACTACACAGAAAGATGCAAATCTACTTGATTGGGATACTCTTACAGTTGCTGTTGATTTGCAGCTCCTGTGCTAGATAGAGATGGTAACTTTTTATACTCAGTTGCCATCAACAAATTATTCCTCAGTAAGTTGTCTGGTCACTTCTTGAACCCATTTAAATGTTTAGCATCTGCAGGGTACTGTAATGAGGTAGTAGAAGTGCTGTTCAGTGTATATGATATCGGAGACTTGTGTAATGGCATACCAATTCTTCTACTCTCTATTAATTTCTGTAATATTTCTTAATACTGAGTTTGTTTTTATCCTTTTGCCTGATCCTGAAAAATAATTCTGAAGAGGTGTCTATTTTAACAGCACAGTCTCATTCTAGAGTGGCAATAATTGAGTTGAAGCTGATCTATGTTGTCCCAGTTTAAATGAGACAAGGGTCTTTTGCTGAGGATGGATTAGGAGGAAAAGACCCAAACTTCTCTTTCCAAGCAATTATAAATCCAAAATTAAGAGGCTTCAATTGAAGGAAAACAAATTATGGAAAAGGGAAAATAACAGCCCTTTATTAAAGGTATGTGTGTATTAACAGGAACACGAAAAAACCCAAGTAAAATAACTAAACAATACTCCTATATCCACCAATAATCCCCTTTGGGAACAAAACCAAAAAAACCGGCAAGAAGAAAATCAAACAGTTCAATTTTTTGCACCCTTTGATGCAGTCCCAACCACAGCCAGCAGGGGGTGCCGTCGGGTCACTGGAGATGCAAAATTTGTAATGTCCTGTATCATTCACCAGGTGGCGCTGTTGGGTCAATGAAGGTGCAAAAACCTGTAGTGTCCTATTGTAGTCACCAGGTGACGCTGTTGGATCACTGGAGGAGCAGAACTTGTAATGTCCAGTGCCCGTCACCAGGCGGCGCTATGGAATCCCTAGTCACTGCCCCGTGGGATGGGGAAAAAAACAAAACAGTACTCTCCAGGTACAAACCAAAAACCAAAAAAAAAAACTCAGTTCCCCTTCCCTTCCCACACTGGGGAAGGAGAGAGAGAGAGGGACTGGGGGGGGAAGGGGGAAGGAAAAAAAATCAGCAATAAAACAGAAAGTTCTCCCAATGGAAGAAAACTCACGAACTTCAGCTGATTAGGATTAGTGTTAAGTAGGGCCTGCAGCCAGCAACAGCTGAGAAGAGAACAGCAACAAACTCCACTCCGACAGGAAGAAAAGAAGCAAACCAGGCAGCTCTGCAGCTTACAGCAGGTCCTCACCTCACTGGCACACACACACCTCACCAGCTCCCCCTCAACTCTTCCCCCTTCGTTGTCAAGGAGACTAATCTCTCGGCTATTACTGGGCCAGGCCGATTCTTTTGTTCACCTAATGGGCAATATACAGAGCACACACACACACACACACACACACACACACACACACACACACACACACACACGGCAGGGGGAAAGGAAAGAAAAAATTCTTTGCTAAAATCAGAACTATGACATATGTTTAAGTGAAGTTTGGATCATTTTTCCTCCTTAGGTGAAAACTGTTGCGCTTATTACTAATTTATGTTCAGAAATCTTCATACTGCCTGTCCATATTGAGCTCCTACAGTAGTAGTATCTGCATATTTTGATGTGTTCTAAATTAGTATGTCAAGAGAAAATTCTTGGTGTCATAACAGTGAAAATAAGTAGCAATTAGTAGTGGAAGAAAATAGAATTTTAGAAATTATCAGGAAATGAACAGGGAACAAAAGGGATAATACTTAGGTTGTTCTAACTGTCAAATACTTGTCATGAATACTTTTATCAGTCCCCTTCCATTTCTGAAATGGAAAGTTGTAGTGAGGGAAAGTACTTTTCATCACATTTATTATTCTTCTGTACAGGATGAACTCTGTGATGAAATTTAACTTCATTATACTCTTTTTTTTCTGATGATGGGAAGGGAAAGGGCAAATCAGGGAAGTATAGTGTTAGTAAGTGCTCTGCAGTGCCTGAATAGGAAGTATTTCCTAGCTGCTAATAATAATGTCAGCATGGGGAACCTCAAAGAAAGGGAGCTGAAAAAAAGGTTCAGAATAAAAGGAGATGAATGAAAACTGGAGATTATTTTGGGATGCTTTGCATGCCAGAATTGTATATAGATTTGAGAAGCATTTGAAAGACAAAATGTTTTTTGAGAGTCTTGACTAAATGAGTGGGAGGCTGTTAAATGAAGTACAAAGACAGCATCTGTCACAGAAGGTCTAAGACACAACTTTTAGAAACAGGAAGAGCTTCTAATGGGGAGCATCTCTCTGGACTACTTCTTGTACTCTTGCATAGGGACCTACAAGTGCTGTGTGGTTTTTTTTTTTTTTTTTCTGGTTCATAGGCTCATTGTCCAAGAAAATAAAAGGAGTTCCTTGACTGAGGGGTGGTGGACATATATAACCGAGGAACTAAATGAAAGATTATTTTAGACAGCAGGAAGAGGGTTCTTGCATTTTTCTTAGAAGACTGATGAGTTCGAGAAACTTGGTATAGGAAGCCTGGAGTGTAGATGTGTTTTGGTTGACGGATGTGTTTTGGTATAGATACATTTTAATTGGCTTGATTCTGCTGAGTATAAAATAGAACTGTTGAAGAAAACTAAAATATATTTCTTTGTTCTGTGTTGCAAATCTACATCTAAAATCAGATTAGATCACTTTTCACTTGAAATGTTTGTTAGTGAAGCAGTCTTTATTTTCTACTATTGTAAGCCACAGAGCAAACAGAAAATTTATGTATTCTGTATTTTTAAATGTCCAGAAAATAAAATGTTGGGTATTTGTGCATTTCAGGCAAGACCACTCATGCCTCTGCTTCTCACTCCAGAAATGGACTGTACTTGAAGCAACATTGTGCTTACCTGTTTCTAGGAACCTTTCTTTTGATAAGATTTATCTCTTTTTCAATATACTTTCTTCCTTTCCCCCCTCCTGTTTTCTCAGCATTAGAGTATTAACTCCTCAGAGTTTCTTACTTCAAAGCCACTGCCTGGTAGGAGGTAAGAGAAGCAAGAATGGCTTCATTTCTTCATGTTTTTTTTCTTTCTCTTATAGATGAAGGTACTTTAGTATAATGATTATTAGCATGGGAGTGGAAACATGCTCTTTAAAATAGTTTAAATTTACATAAAGTAGCGTTCTACTATTTTTAGCCACCTTACCGTTTCTTTTCTGTTGGGTTTAGGGACTGGAATTACATCAAAAAGTCTGTAATGATACAGATAAGGGTACATGTTTGACTTCCTTTTGCATAATGGAGGACTTAACAAAAATTCTGTATTTTTGGATTTTGTTAAAATAGCTCTACCATTGACAGGAATGTTGTGATTTGACTGGCAGCAGGGCTGGATCTCCTTATTACTCCCTCTCCCCATGCCGTGAGGGCTGTAGTAAGTGGTAACTGCAAAGTCAGTCTCTCATGGTGCTGTTATGGACAGGCAGGTAGATACTCGGTGTTTTAGCCTTCTGGAGTTTGAACGGAATCCAAGCTCTATCTCTGCTGGGAACAGCATCTGGAAGGTTGGAGACTGTCTGTTCCCAGTTTCTTCTACAACTTAAACTCACGTTTTTTGCAGGAAGACTGAGGCAGAAATTTCTAGAGGTTCTTTAGGAGTCATACACTTGAGAAGGAGATGGAATGGGAAGTGAAAAATATGCAGTGTTTTATTTTGTGCAAGTGTGATACAGTTTAAGTGTGAAAAAAACAATGGGATAACCAGGCAAACAGTGGGAAGGTTCCCAGGAATGCCAGTGAAGCAGCTCTTAGCGTTAGGTCTTTCGTATTGGAGAGAGAACACATTTTTAAAATCTTGAATAGATATTAATAGAAGGAAAATCATAGGAAAATGTGATAATTTGGAGGATGTTTTTCAAACTGAAGCTGTGTCGCTGTTCCTGTGACCGTTCTATATTCATAGAAGAGCATTCCTTCTTCCTGCACTGTATCTCTATCAGCAGTAGTTTCCTTTCTTTTTCAGAGCTACTGCCTGCTTCAAAATGCTACCTAATGACTTTCTGTCCTTGCTGTTGTTAAAGGTTCAGCTGAGGACTGGAGTGGTAGAGGAAATTAAACACAGAA